GTGGCTTGACTAGCGCCGTTGTGTGGCAGCCTTGTTGTCATCTGTGTGTGAATGGGTGAATGGTGTATGATCTCCTGTAAAGCGCTTTGGCCAGAGCAACACACTGTTAAAAATGCGCTATATAAATACAGTCCATTTACCATTTAACTAGTTTAGCTTCCTAAAGACCAAAGTGAAAGAAAGTCACTTTCGGCTTTTCCCGTTTAGGGGTCGCCACAGCGAATTGTCACATTGACGACTCGCATATTGACATTTGGCACGTGTTTTACACCGGATGCCCTTCCTGACGCAACCCTGATTCGAACCCGGGGCACAGCAGCAAGAGCGCTGCGCCTTAACCACTAGCCCAAAGTCATGTCTTTAAATGTTGTTTTATCCAAGCAACAGTCAAAAATCCAGTTTACAGTAATAAACAGAAAATAACAGAAAAGCTATTCCAAACGGTGAATCTGGAACCAAAAATGTTGTTTGATAAACAACTTAAAAAGTTAATCACCTATCAAACTAAATTGCTATAATTATTTTCTGCCAATCAATGAATGAATGAATTGTTTCAGATCTAAAATATAAATAATTAGCTTCATTTTTGAGACCATGAAGAAATGTTTTGGGGTCATCCCTAATGTTAATTCTGCTCAGACCCCTTTAAAGCTTATGCAGATCACACTTAAAGTAAAGTAACTACAAGATAAAACAGAGGAATAAAATTTGTGATCATATCATTTTAAGACTTTTATGTGCTGCTCCATGCTGCTACTGTGATACTGTAAATGCTTTGGAGAAAGCCTGATTTGCATCTATCATATCCCTGTGTGTGTGTGTTTTGTGTGTCTGTCTGTCTGCTACAGAACTGAATGCCACATCATTTGCCACTCTTCATTCAGCTGCTACAAATAGAACGGCCATCTCTGGGGGCTCGCTGAGAGGAGAGATGGAGTCAGAGGAAAGAATGGAGTAAGAAGGGAGGAGTAGAGGGAAAGAACAGGGGCAGAGCTTTAACCCTGGAGAAAATGGAACGATGGAGTAGGGGGAGGGCTGAGGAAAAGGATTATGATGAAATTACAAATGGAAAATGATTAACATTAGAAATGTAACAACAAAGGTTTCAGGAAGGCGAGAGGGGCAGAGAGAAAGAAAGGAGAAAAAGAGGGACAAACAAAAAGGGAATGAAACATAGGGGGAGGATTAAAAATTGAGAAAAAGACAATTCATTTAACAGCACAGATGAAAAAGGCCAGGAGAGTAGAATCAGTGGATGGATCGATAGAGAAGATGAGATGAGAAGAGAGCAAAGATACAACATTTAAGGAGGTTTTAAGGTCTTTAGTAGTGAATGATTTGAAATCTGTGACAACAAAGACTGGTGAATGTAGGTCACAACGAGAGAGTAGTGACACCACATTTATCTACAAAACTGTCTACAGAACTATTATTTTGCATTTAAAATAGGTTAATATACTGCAAAAACGTACCACGCCCCTTTTATTAATTCTTTGCAAACAAATATGGTCACTACATACAATATGGTTTCCTTGTTTAAATGATGGGTTAAGTACCTGTAGAACCGTCCAACATACCTCAGACTGTGACCAAATCCAGCAGTGAGCAGGGGCCTCTCAAGGTCAGGTGAAAGACAAACCTATTAGTAGCAACAGCACATCTTCTGTTCTCAGCGATTTATTGTGCTTTTCTTGCAGTTAATGCAGTTCATAGAGTATTTGTCTGACTGAAAATGCATCAAAAACAGATGTTTCTTTACACGTTTTACGTAGGTTGATTATGAAACTTGAAATCTGAGTTGTAAATAAAACAAGGGAAAAGAGGAAACAACCTAATGAAGTAAGACTGATGGAACAACATGAGGGATGAATGAATGTAAAAGATCAGGAAGAGGTGTTTTGCTGCTGGAGAAAAGGAGTGACTGTATGTGTATGTCTGACAGGTATATATTCCCCTGATGTCTGCACATAAGGCCCACTGTGAGATTTTTCATCTGAAGCCACCTCCCATTTGTCAAGCATAAAGGAATTCATATCCAAGATTTTTGTGACGAACTCTTGCTGTCTTGTTCTATTAAACTAACCTTGTTGTGCCAATCTGCCTGCCTGTATGACTTCCTTTGGGTCCGTTTGGTTCTGGAAACTTGGCAATGTAGTGACTTGCAAGGCTAGATGGTGAACAAGCATGGTGAGTCAGCAAACTCACTAGCTAAGCTTGGGTACAAACAGGAAAATCAGCTCACAAAGTTGATTCAAAAGACTAAATTCAGAAATTCATGAATGTTTACGATATCTCTCAATATCTTTCCCAATTTCTCTAATTAAGTAGTATGGTGGCCCAGCAGGTTCGAACTACTCCCAGCTTGTGACTGTCATGTATTACATAACTTTAGTCACAGAGACAATCTTCTGTTAACCTGAGACTTGACAATCATTTTAACCTGGGTACTCACTTCATAACACTCACCCAGATCCTGAAGGTATTTCCCAAACCCTCCTAAGCTGTTCTAATGATGTGGAACCAAAAATAATTTTGTTTGGTTCAGGAAAAATATAACTTTAATGTCCATTCATCTAATATAAACAAAGATGGTGACAGAAAATGACATCACTCTGGCTTTGTTTGAAAGCAGATCCACCACTGACAACTTCATATATGACATATGGCACATTTAGGTGCATCTACTCCTTACCCCAAGTAAAAAGAACTAACTCTGACTGCACGACAACCTTCTGTTAAGATTTGTCCTGGGAGTGACAAAGTAGTTTAAATGCCTCAAACCCTAATACCTAACCCCTGACTTTCGCATGAGAGATACAATGCCATTTCCTGTTGCCATCTTGGCTTAACTGAAAAGAAGCTGGTTTCCCAGAGAAACTGACAGAAAATATATTTTTCCTGGACTCAAACTGATTATTTTTGATTCTGCATTGTTAGAAGAGCCTTTGATGATTCAGGAAATACCTTTGGAATTTGACTGAGTGTTATGAACCAATAGCGCATAGTGTGACATGAAATATTCAGCTCAGCTCCAGAGGAGACCATCCAGAAACAGGTCAGCTCAACATAGTAGAGTCTCGTTTGCACAAACACATACACACACACAACCATGATCTCGTCCTATACTGTAGAGAACAGCACAGGCATATGGACTGGTCACACATCTGCTGTGCAGGTACAGTAGACAGTGTGTGTTTGGGGGGGTGTATGTATGTGACAGAGACACAGACAGACTGATGGTGCGACTTGTGGTGACTGGCAGCTTAAAGACCTTTTAAATGATTCCTGTTTAATGCCCCCATGTGTAATTAGCACCAGTCATTTCCCAGTGCAACACTGGTAGTAAATGCAGCCACTTTCGCTTCAATTAAAGGAATACTCATGAACTCTGTTTCCCTGGAAACCAATCCAGTGTCCAAGATCAACCCTCATCCCCTGCCCCAGTACTACAAGATTTCTGATGGGTGAGCAACAAGGCTGTTTTCTAGACAACAAAAGAGGGGGTGATAAAATTTAAGAGCTCTATATCAACCTCCACCAACACCGTGTTTAAAAATGAATGAATTAGGCACAGGTAAGTGGCACCAGAAAGCAGAGTTAACATGCTTTTCTGTCAAGCGGGTGACACTATTCCAGCATTAATGATCTAGGTTATATATTATATAATATATTCACATCTGAGAGACTGCACAGATTTTTTCTATTTACTTAAAAATTACAAACAATTAACTGGTTATCAAAATTGTTACAGATTAACTTATCTTATTAATCAATTAATCATTCTAGTACTTCACTTCTCCTCAAATGCCTTCCTGAAAGACCTGTGGCAGACACTTTACACCAATTAACAACAGGGTTTGTATCTGCTACATGTTGTTGCTGTTTTTCTTCCAAATGTCCAATGTCTCGGTCTTTTTGAGTAGTAAAAGAGGAGCAGGTATAAGGAATATAAGAGTAGGTCTCCTCACAGTCAAAAGCAGAGATCAAAGACCTAAATCCTTGAGTGTTATTCTGTTTGAAGTGCACTCAAGCCTAGCAAAAATCCCTTCATTGCACCTCCACAGTAATTAATGTGGCGATCCCAGTAGAGTCACAAGTTGACAGAAATGTCCAGATGATCCTTTGTTATGGTTGGCTGGAAACTGGGGAGTTACAATCCTAACCAGGACAACACCTTTCTATAGCTTGTTTTCCTCTAGGAATGACCTTCTAAAGGTGAGGAATCAACATCATCCACTTCATCATCTCCATTTGCTGTAAATCACAACGAGTTATTCAGTATACAGTGGAACCTCGGTTTTCATATGCCGTACTTTTCGTACGATTCGGTTTTCGATGACTTTTTTCGTCGAAATTTTGTCCCAGTTTTCGTACATCCGCTCAGTTTTCGTACAGTTGATTGGTCGGTTCAGCGTCATAAGTCCGTACCAAACTCGTCCGCCTCCCCGCGTGACTCGGCCACTCATTTCCCGGAAGAAATTTGCTGAAGGGAAGTAACTCCGGATAGGACCTTGATACATGAAGTTCTTATGGAGGGGAATTCCCCTTCCAAACAATAACCTCTCCTCCTTCCTCTGCCCTCCTCACCGTCTTCCATACGCCAAGAGTTTTCAGTAAAGGTAAAAGTGATGTTAAATGTTCATTTATCCATTTCATTCGTCATTTATATTAATTTCTCATTGTTTTCTGTATGTAAAAATATAGTTATTCTCTATAAAATGTATTTTTGTTAATATTTTGGGTGTCTGGAACGGATTAATTGGATTTACATCATTTCTTATGGGAAATATTGCTTAGTTTTCGTACATTCGGTTTTCGTCGGACCTTTTCGAATGGATTAATCACGAAACCGAGGTTCAACTGTATAAAGAGCTGTTGTTAAAGAATGATCAAAGAAGTAAATACCCTCTTTAACTACACTGATGTCCGGTGCGCACGAGGCAGGTTGAATGGAGCAATTGTATGATGTTTATAAGCCCATACATTGTGACTTTTCCTACCTGTGCCTAGCGTGCTGCTGCACTGCCAGTTCTCAGTGCTCGCCGGCTTCCAGCAGGACTCCCATAGGGACAGGTAGTAGTGGTCCTCGGCAGTCACCCACGCCGGGCTCATCACAGCTCCCACATCCAGGCATAGCGCCAGGAAGACGCACACCAGCCCAACCAGCTTCAGCGGTGTCAGTGGGGAGCTGCGCGCCGACTCCTCTATCTCGGTGACAGCAGAGGACATATCGAAGCTGGAGAGATAAACAGGGTTCAAAACCCGGGGAGGACGTCGATGTGTGCGTGCAGTTGATTTGTCCTTTCCTCACGGTATGTGGATGTTGGGGAAAGTCGGGCGGGGAAGTATGAGCTGAGCGCTGTTGATGCTGCTGCTGCTGCAGGTGCCACCGAAGCCACCTGGGTGCGCGCTGGACGACGCT